AACTCTTTACTGTCCTCCAACACGATTTTGGTCAGTCAAAGTCTGAATGTACTTATCTGGCTACACTAATTGAGAATTGAGATTGATGCTACAGGTGACGTTGATGTAGATACTAGATAATCAAATTCACGTAGCTCCGTCTCCTGTGTCTTGAGAATTATTTTCATGTCTTCATCACGGCTTTTTTTAGTCAAAAACTGCATTGTTCGAATATCGCCTCCAAAGAAGAGGAATCAGATATTATTAATAATATTTTTTTATCATACCAAGTGACTGGACGAACAAGTCGTGTGTCAGGTGTTAAGTATCAAGCCTGTTCATAGCAGTGCCAGTTCGCCAGCCACCCTGGGACACAATTTGACAAGTCCCATGTGCCTGTAATTTCATCAGCACCCTTCCAAACCGGTGCGCAGTAATGTTCACATTACAGCGTGGCGGCAGAAATAAGTAAGGTGACAGTACTTCTCTGGACGAACTCTGTGTCAAAAATATTCTTCTTTAAGTAAATTATTTTTTTAGTGTAACATTCACGGTGAATATACGGGGAAATAGAATTAACACCGTTAATCGATTCAGAAATAAAATGTCAAATTAACAGTGACAAAAATAATCAGAAATAATATTGGTGTGCTAGGAAATCCCACCAATCCCATGATCTCAACTGAGGATTTTTTGTATTATAATAGAATAAAACAAAGCAGTGAACCCTGGTGACACAAAATATACCCAAACAAGAACCAATTTGGGAAACAAAGGACCTCCTTCAACATTCAGAATCTTATTAAAAGTCATTTAAGTAAGTATGCTTGCGTATGTTGTTCCGTGACCTCACTTAGGGTCTGTTTACCTTCATCTCGATAACTGGTGTTGTCACTGTTTTTTAACAAATCGCACTCACTGTATCCTCCTGAAGCCGTACCAATGTTTATACCTACCATAGTTTTCATTATGCAATTCTAAACTTAAAACTTGTAATAAGTAATGATAATTTTACTTGTAGAATCTGTATATACATTTAGTAGCAGTAGAACTTCTTTCACAAGGGTGAAAGAGTTCGTCCGTGGAAATGCTGCCAGTTTATCTATTTCTGCCACTAAGCAGTAATATGATCATTATTCTGTTCCGGTTTTGAACGATAAGTGTGGCGGTGAAATTACAGGTACATGGGACTTGTCCGCGTGACGAGCGCAGTGCCCCTCAAAGCTCTGGGCGGGGTACTACAACTGCTATGAACAGGCGTTTCGCTTATCACACCTAGGCCTCTTTTGCAAACCAGCTCAATTGGTCCTGTGCGAATCTTATCATTAGTCTTTCGGCCACCCCGACGATATCATTCGACCATCTAGCAGGTGGTCAGCCTTGAGAACGTGCCGCTTCTACCAGGTACCAATCAGTGCCCGCCTTGGTCCATCGGTCGGCGTCCCACCTGCATATCTCCATCTGCATACCGACGTCTATGACTTTTATTCGCTGTCGTATCTCTACGGTATACGGTCAACGAGGGAACTTCCAAGCATGGTGCGCTCCATTGCCCTTTGAGCCACTCTGATTTTGTGCATATATTATTTTTTAAGCGACCATGTCTCGGCGCCGTAAATGAATATGGGCAGGACGCGTTGGTTGAAAAACTTTAGTTTTCAGGCTTTGAGGGATTTTAGACTTAAAGTCGTCCTCTAGGTTTTCGAAGGCGGCCCATTCCAACTGATACCGTCACTTGGTTTCATAAAAAAGTATTAAAGAATTCTACATCTCCAGAACTACAATATCGCTTTTGCCACATACAGTTGACTGGTTTTGCCCAAATTATAGCGGTGGCAACGGTCGTTCGGGATTTCATTATCAATTAAGTAAATATGGCGTCGGTGATAAAAATTATCTGTTTATATGCTTCTGAGAATTAAAGTTTTAAGTATGTTTCAAGAACTAGTAAAAATATTTGCGAGAATCCGCTGGATGCGAGGAGGAGACCTATTTGCACTTTTTATTATACCTTTTCATGTTCAGTTTAAATAACGTAATAACCTTTTAATAAAATAAAACGTCCTTACAATTTAGTGGAATTATATCTATTTGCCAAGTTCTATTGAAATTGGTTAACGAAAAGTGGGTGAAATCCAATAAATAGGATTCATCCCCTGATTTGTCACCCTTATAAGGAGGAATATTTCTTTCAAATTTAAATGGGACCACTACGACAGGACCTACTCTCTTTCTGAATGGATGATTGTGTTCAGTGTTTTTTATCTTCTTCGACTTTAGCGAAATCTGATAAGTCGTGTGAGTGACGTTGTGACGTCATCATTCAGCGTTCTCTTTCACACATCATCGTTCACGAAACATAATCCATTTTTGGTGTATAATATTTCTTAAGAAAATATTCAAAGTTATATAGATAACATCATTCGCTATGACTTTGACCGACTTATCTCAATTAGATCATAAGACCGTACAGTAGTGGTGTGCCCGCCCACTAGCATGTTTGTCATACTTCCAATCATACTACACTCGTGTATGACTACTGTAGTATTATAACAAACATTGTACCACCCATCGCCTTTTCTATGCAAATTTCCGAGCTGCGTTTCATATGTTACAAAGTAGCTGTTCTTGACTGTTTGTTGTTGACAATGGTTGTCAGTAATTGGCAAAAACGTGCTTGTTCCCTGGACACTTTTGATATGTGTTTTAGGTACAGTCAACAGCACATCAAGCTATATTACTGCCTTCGTGGCCGAACGTACCATGCTAGTCTACCACGCAGATATGGCGGGTTCGATTCCCGAGCCGGGAGAAATATTTGTACGGCCTACATTTATTTACTTCTCTCGTGAGTTTGGGTGTTATATTGTGATTGTCTAGGAGTGTGTGCGATATTATATTATTATTATCCAATTTTGTTCGAATAGTGCCTCTATTTCAACGGACCAAGATCCGTCAATGGGTAGCTTAATGTGCTGCCGTCTGTATATTATCCCACTGCTCGTCACAGGTTTCTACAGAAGAGGACGTAAATAAATTAAAAATCATCATTATAATCATCAGCAATTCATTATACGTCCCATTGCTGGGCGTGTGTCTCCTTGAAGGAGAGGGTTCAGGGCATTAATAATACGAGTCAAGCAATTTCCGTTCCTGCCGAGGCATGTAAAGTGCTTTTCTCAAACAATGTGAGGAAATAATAAAAGACTAAAAAGATGCAAATGTATAATAGAAAAAATAATAAAATATTATTTAAAAGTAATATTTGACATGTTAGGACCATTGCTAAAAAAATTTTATTGTTTTTCCAGGCACTTTTAGTAGTCTCTGATGATGTGGTTGAATTTGTATCCATTACGTACTTGTTTACGTACTATATAAAAGCTGGATGAATGGATTTTCATATTTACTTTGCAGGCCTTGGCCGGGAAGAAGACGCACGGTCCATAGATAACAAACGTTGGAAAATAATGCAATCATTTCCAAGCATGTTTGAGCAAAATTTATTTATCTACAATATTTTGTTTTATTCGCACAAACACAAAGAAAAATTCCTTCGACCCGACTGGACTCGAATGACTGTTCTTTCTCGCTCTATCGCTCTGCCAACTGAGCTGCGGATCGAACCAGCAGATCTTACGAATTTCTCTATACGCTTGTTGCGGATCTGTGTATTTGGTCAACACGTTCACAGTCCTCCATACAAAGGCGAAATCAACCCCGTAAGTCTACCGGAATTTGTGTGTAATTGTGTTGGTTTTGTCTCTCACATTAGCCCTCTTTACACAGTCACTCTATCGCTCGTGGTCGGGAACGTACAAGATTGCGCGCGGGAAAACCTGCTCGCGCGCAATTGCTCGTGTTCGTTTTTGTTACAACGGAAAGAGCGTCCTTGTGAAGGATAATAGCGCAGGATAGAGCGCGTGAAACTATCGCTTGTTGGAGAGGCGATCGCGCAGTCTTCCCCTTTTCCATCCAACGTCTTTACACGTGAGCTCAATCGTGCACGATTGCTTTATCACGTGCGATAGAGTGTCTGTGTAAAGCCCGTTATTATATACATCCAAATTATTTTGTGGTTTTTGAAAGAAAAAACATGAGCAGCACTCCCGGCTTTGAAATTTGACCTCGCAGTACTCGCATTATGTTCGGGCGCGTTCCCATTATGTTGTAACGTTTTATTTATCGTTGGACGACGACACAATCTCGACTATCTGTCGTGACTGTGACGTCAAGTTTATTTTATCGTTGAATGGCTGTCGTGTCTAGCTGTTCCCACTAGATCGTGACGACAATTTATCGGTTCACGGCAGCCGCCTTATCGTTTGCACGACGGAATCGTTTGAAGCTGCGATTATCTGTCGTGACGTTTTATCTATCGTCAAACGACAGTCACTCTTCCCATTGTCCCGACAGTTTGCCGTCGTAGCATCAAAAAAGTCGGGAACGACAGTTAACCGTGTCGTTCTATATGTGTGAACAACTTCATTTAAATATACAAGTCACGACACTTAAACTGCACGACTATCTCCGTCGTGCCGTTTAAAGTGTCGTATAATGGGCACGCGCCCTAACTTGCGAGAAGTTAGTTAAAGTTAGACTTACAAGTTGTTAGTGATAGTAGGTGTTAGTCTGTGAGAAATGATTAATGTATTTATAATTAATTATTAATACAAAGATCGGACACTCAGAAAAAATCCATCGATCCGGCCGGATTCGAAACGACGTCTTCTAGCATACCGTGTCAGACGCTATACCAACTAAGCCACGGAACGAACCAGCGGACCTCACGAATTTTTCTATGTCTTTGTTGTCGTGTCTTTGTATTTGGTTTTTTCAACGACTTTTAGTCGTAGCGCCATCTATGAGAAATCTTAAGTATTTCGTCACCTAGTTAGACACTTTTACAGCTACCAGCCCTGGCTAGAGATGTCGCTGTTCATTGTATTTAAATTTTTATTGAATTGATATTCAATTATTTTTTATGTAAGGTTATTAATGTATTTACCTTTTGTCCACAGTGTATGCAGAGACGACTCGGGAATCCCTGACTGGTACTGTGACAACGACTTATGTCTTATGTCCGACGAGGTGATCCTAGGAATCAACCGAGGCGGACACGGCTGGAGAGCAGATAACTACACGCAGTACAGCGACAAGAAACTGAAAGATGGACTTATTTACCAGCTGGGTAAGTGTTGCGCCATCTTTACCGGGTCAAGTTATTACTTATAGATCACCTTGCTCAAGGGTGGACTCCATGTAAAAAGCCGTTTCGGGGCAACCTTTAATATTACAGCAATTTTGATGGCCTCCGTGGTCGAGTGGCTTGCACACCGGTTTTCATGGTGTCGCCATAGACGTCCCGGGTTCGCTCCCCGGCCGGGTCAGTGTAGAAACTAACTTTTCTATGTTGTCTCGGATCGGGGTGTTTGTGGTACTGTCCTTGTTTCCGATTTCTATAGCACAAGTGCTTTAGCTACTTTGGGATCAGAGCAAAGTATGTAGCGTTGTCTAATATTTATTATATTTATATTTATGTGTACAGGGTAATTTTTAATGTTTTTTTTTATTTCGAATTGAATGGAATAGAATAGAATAGATATTTATTGCAATGCCACAACACATAGATACCAAAAAAAAATTGATAACACAGACAAACAAAAGAAAATAAAAAGAATTAATAAACGAAATAAAGAATACAGTAAAAAAAACAACACGAAATCAGACAATAAGCAAAAAACAAAATATAACGGCTACAAATTTTGTACTATCATATGTGTGGTTGTGGCTTACGCAAAAGGACTTCCAATATAAGCCACAGCCATAATTAACGGTGGCGCTGGTTTTCAATGAGCCCTGAGCCGAGATGAGTGACAGACGTGTGTGTCGCGAAATAAAAGAACTTAAAATAAACATAATTTCAATATCAAGTGCAAGAACAAACATTAATGCGCCTGATGTTAAGCGAAACGCCTGTCCATAACAGTTGCAGCGCTACTCAGAACTTTAAATCGCAAAAATGTGAGGGACACTGCCACTGTGCCCGTCACCCTAGGACATAAGTTGACAAGTTCCATGTAACTGTAATTTCACACACAAGAACACAGTAATGCGCATATTACCGCTTGGCGGCAGAAATAGGTAAAAGGTGGCAGTACTTCCCTGGACAAATTCTTTCTCAAGGAGCTCTACAGCTACAAGAACTGACTGTGTATACAAGCTGTTGTAAAATCTAGTAAATAATAAATATAGTATTTACTTGTGAGATTTTTTTATTGTAGTGACATACTCGTAACATCGTTCTATAAATAAAACAATACTAATTAAATTTTTATTGAATTGATATTCAATTATTTTTTGTGAAATTACTCCACTAGTTTGTTATAATTATTAATACAAAGATCGAACACTCAGAAAAAATTCCTTCGATCCGGTCGGATTCGAACCGACGTCTTCTTGCATACCGTGCCAGACGCTATACCAACTAAGCCACGGAACGAACCAACGGCCCTCACGAATTTTTCTAATTGCTTGCGTCGTATCTTTGTACTTGGTCTTCCAACGAATTCGAATCCGACCGGATCGAAGAAATTTTTTCTGAGTGTTTTTTCTGAGTGTTCGATCTTTGTATCAATAATTATAAAACAATACTTTCAAATGTTCATTGCCAGTAAGAAAATTAAAACTACACTACAACATCGCAGAAATATATTACTATCATCATAAATAACAACTTATATTTTTATGAATGACAGTATACGGGAGGCGTTGCTAAAAATACATGTCTAAAAAATGTCAGATGATACAACAATACTAATCTCAGTACAAAGTACTAAAAAAAACCGACCTCGAAAGATCGTAGAATTACATCTATTTGCCAAGTTTTGTTGAAATCGATTACCGGAAAGTGCGCGAAACCGGATTCATCCCTTGGTTTGCCACCCTTAGAGGTGGAATATTTTCGTCAAATATAAATGGGACCACTACTGAGGCCTCTAGAGATCTTTCTTTGGAGATCTTTCCAACAAAAAAAAAAAAAGAATCATCAAAATTGGTTCACAAGTTATTGCGTAATACCTATACATACAAAAAATTTCAGTCGAATTGAAAACCTCTTCCTTTTTTTGAAGTCGATTAAAAACTTGAAAAGTTTCATAAACAGTCATGGAACAAAAGTTGTTGTTAACGATGTTAGTAATATAACCATGCGAGGTTGTTTTGTGTAACCGTGTACAAACATATTATGTGTACACATATGTTCAAAAAGTTAATTCTTACACACAAATATTTTACGGTTAATGAAAATATTTGCTCTTTGATTTGTTACACTTTGAGAGACAAATTATAATTTAATTGCAAAAATTTCCAATTTTTTAATTGATCGGTCTCTCCAATTTCATTGCTGAACATTGATTTCCCGAATCCCGAAAAAATCCGAGACTAACAAATGTAGTCGTAAGACAGTCTCCGCTTTCTGTCTCTGTTTACCGAAGTTTAGGAATTAAGCTCTACCTATTCCAATCACTAATTATAACATAGATGCTTTAAGAATCAGTTGGTTTAACGTAAAACGTTAATGTTATTCGATTGTTTTCGTTACGGTGATCGATTGCTTTCGTTACTGTTATCGATTTCTTTCGTAACGGTGATCGATCTCTTTCGTTACTAAGATCGATCGCTTTCATTATTTTACGGTCTAAATTTCTATTATATTTTATGTCACGTCTCGCATCAATCGCTGAGTCTTGACAGATTAATCATCGGATCGTCACAATTTAAAATACCTTTGTTATGAGTTGCCAATGCACACGACTATGACATACACATTTGCATACAAAAGCAACTGTACTAATAGTTAATGCGTAAATATGACCTTTGAGAATTACGCATCAATAGAATCTAGGTCCTGTGCAAAATCTAGATCAAGACGTAGGTCTGATTGTTATTATGCTTGTTGAATACAAGAGCTACTGTTTTTGCCGCAAGGTGTTTGCGCACGACTATAGCTACATTTTGATATTGACATACGTGTGACCTAGATATCTATGTCAATATATTGGTATCTAATAATAATAGTAATAATTTATTTCCGAACCAGGTCAATAGATTGTTAATAAATTGCAAAATGCTCAAGTCTAAGGATTAGTTTCATAATACAAACACAGGAACACAAACCGCCCTCAAACGTTCGTGGAACTATATCTATAAGCCAAGTTTTATTGAAGTCGGTTACCGGAAAGTGCGCAAAACCGGATTCATCCTCTAGTTTGCCACCCTTAGAGATGTAATATTTTCTTCAAATTGAAACGGGACCAATATTAAGGTAGCTCCTTTTCAACAAAAAAAGAATCGTCAAGATCGGTTCACAAAATTAAATATAATCGCCTAACATACAAAAAAAAAACCGTCGAATTAAAGGCCTCCGCCTTTTTTTAAGTCGGTTAAAAATTGTTTAATTTCTTACATAATGTTTATAGTCTTCATTGTGGTTTCTTTAAGCAGTGTCACCTTTGAAAAGTCTGTGTTAGCCAATTAAGTTCCATTTTTACCTGTCTCAGAAATATTTGTAGACGCAGACTGTTTACATTCAACATATACATGCGAAACTGCCTCTTTATTACACAGCAAACTTAGACACTACATTTTAAACGCGGTGAAGTGCAATGTTCAAGGAAGAATTATTTTAATGTACGTCATCCCATTCTATAAAGACAAAACTATTGAAATTAATAATAATAATAATAAACTATTAAAATCGCAAAGATCTGAGTGGCACTGACTGTATTTTCACCAGCACCCTTACCCTTCAAAACCAGAACACAGTAATGCTGTCAAAGGGTTACTGCTTGGCGGCAGAAATAGGTAAGGAGGCAGTACTACCCTGGACGAACTCTTTCACAAGGAGGTCTACTGCTACTAAACTACTGGGTTGGCGATTTCACACGTTTTCCAGGGGTTGTGAACCTTTAATACTTAATAATAATAATTAATATTATTTCGGACCATAAAAATACCCTTAGTGTAAACAACCTGAACCATACTTGATCCATAGCATATTATTAGTAAACAACTTAGAACAAGGTTATAAGAAAAACAGTACAACCAAAATTAATTTCTTAATTAAATAACAAATTGGGTTACGTTCTTGACTTGCTCTAACCAAGTGAGTAAGTTTCAGGAAAGGACTATCATACCTTCCTGTTATTGCTTATAGAATGCTGTTAGGACTTTGCCTCACACAACTTAATAGCGAGACAATCTCACGAATTTTTCTATGTGCTTCTTGTCGTGTCTTCTGTATTTGGTTTTTTCAACGACTTTTTAGTCATAGCTTTTAAATTATTATTTTTTTTATAATACCAAGCGACGGGACCAACAAATCTTGGTGGTAAGCGATACGCCTGTCCATAACCATAGACCAGATTCAACAACAATTGCAGTGCCACTCAAAGCTTCAAATCGCGAAAATCTGAGGGACACTGCGCCCGTCAAATGAGATATAAAGTTAACAAGTCTCATGTGCTATAATTTCACCAGCACCTTTAGCCTTATAAACCGAAACGTAGTAATTCTCACATTACAGGCGGGTTAAATAGGTAATGTCGCAGTACTTCTCTGGACAAACTTTTTCACAAGGAGGTCTACTGCTACTGAATATGTAAACTGTATTTACCGTGTATGCTTACAAATAAATATTCTCTATCTCTGATTCCCTGTACAATGAATGTTCTTCAAGAGCAATGACAGAGTTCAGTCAGTCGCTCAATGTTACGCGTAAAGTGCCTACCGCTGAGTGTATCGCCGACAGTGCAAGCGCTCAGACAAGTCTTTATCCGCTCACGCGATGCGCTCCTCCTACCGCAAAATGGCGGCTATTTGGTATCGCAAATTAGAAAAGGATTCAGTTTACATACAAGTTTGTTTTTAAAAATAAAATTATTATTCTGCATTGCTAAATAAATACCCTCCGTACTACAACAAAAACATCTCAAATAAAATGCAGTAATACACCGCAAATCCTGCACTTAAAAAGCACTAATGAAATTTTTGGTGTACTTGGGTAAATATGATAATATTCCGTTTGAGTGCTTCTAATGTTTACCAAGAAATTACTCCTTAAAGTATAGTTTATAAACATTTATATTCAGGGTAAACTTAAAAAAACGCAACTTACGGTATGTTTTCAGT